GTAGAAATACTTCTAGTTGCTTCATGCTACAGAAACCGGGATAAGCTCCGGCCTGATGGGCCACTTGGCTCGCATGCAGACTTTACCTTTTACCTTTACAGTTTGGTACATGTAGATCTTTTTGAACAGTGCTCCTTATGTTCATTCCTCAAGTTCATGCTATCACTCTGATAGAATTATCATCCACTTTGTAAGAAAAGATATCGAAAAATATAACTCACTTGGAAAAGTCCATTTAGTCTATTTTGGTTGTTCCAGAAAACATTTGCATCCTTTCCATGTTAGGTGTTGTGGTTTTACCCCCCCCCCCCCCCAACACATCTAGACATTCCAGTTTTAGGTAGTAATGTTTTAGTACTTTCACTAGTTTTTGAAACCTGCTTCTCCTTTTGAATTTTCATTGATCCTCCTTGGGATATGTGTGAATATCTCTTGGAACCAGTGACACTTTTTTATTAAATAAGTTCTTAATATCAAGATCTGATAAAAACTATTCATATTGTTTACAAAGTTTGCTGCACTGTGACTGTCACAGCTGGAGTGGTGGGGGATGGGGCGGGGGGGGGGNAGTGGCTAGAGAGTTATTGAAAACAATTGTCTTAACAGATTATTGATTCAATTGAGGCCTTGAGCTACTGTATTTTTATTCCAAGTTTTCACCGTTCTACAGCATCGGGGAATGAAAAAAAAAAATACAGTAGTTCAAGGCCCAAATGAATCAATACATACACTGTATCTATTCCAATATGCAATATGAAGGACAACTTCAAATGTTTACTATTGTCTTAACGTTCTCATAAGTTATAAATATCACTGCGTACTAGTTATTTGTTTTGTAGTTATGATGATTATCTTTCTTTTGCTTGTAGGAGGTTGTGTCCTGATATTTCTTTTTTTCAAATTGCAACTAAATATCCAAACAAGAAAGTCACAACTGGTGAGTGTGAGAGGTTGCTGCCTTGTTAAACTGGGTAAAACTGGGCTCAGTTGTTCAAAAGCTGGTTGATGCTAATCCAGGATCAAAAATTAGCCAAAGTATTAATTTTTCTTGTATAATTCTTTTTTTTCACTGCATATATTTTGTGTAGCTTGAGATTATTCAAACAGTAAACTATAGGACAAACAACATGAACAGAAAATCTCACCAAAAAGTTACAAAACTGAAATCAAAATTCTTGCTAAGCTTGGGTTAGGTTCATCGGGCTTTGAACAATCCCAGCCCTGGAGGTTAAAATAGTTTTTCATCCATTTGATATTCTAACTATTTACCATACATTTCATTTATTATTTACTTCTGAGAATTTCTGTTAGTCTGGTTTATATAGGAATTATAACCTGTGAAAAACATCAACTGGGCGATACTGCCTTTCAAGCTTATGCATCTCATAGGTGGTTAATGCCGTCAACTCCAGTGTGTCACAGACCCAAAGCACCTTGAAATTTTTTCTAACTGGTCTATTTTCTCACTGGTTAGGAGATGACAGAGATTTTGAAACCTTAAGAGAGCGAGTGTTACGGACTCACTTGGAGGCATCTCATGTTAACACCAACAGAAGTGGACTAAAAAATGTAAGTCAAGAAACAGGTTGAGCATCCTCCTAACTTTGAAAATTGGCACATTAATTTTGTTTCTTATTATAAATGTTAGGCCTTGATTATGTCAAAGTTGAGGCTTTTGGAAACTAATGGTATAATGGGTATAGTCTGCATTCCAGCCTAATGGCTCCTCAACAGGGTCTGAAATTGCGCTTTCCTGGTTGCCAATGCGACTAAAAATTTCGCACTGGCAACCAGAATTTTACAACTGGTCGCCAGCGTGTGATTAACTCTTTCATGCCATGATAATTGCACAAACAGTAACTTTGATTTTCAGGCAAATCGATTAAAATAAAATTCAAAGCCGCCCGCCAATTGGTCACTTCCTTTTTACCTTTCCGCTGCTTTTGAAGTATAAAACCGATTTTCCTGTTATTATAAATCTACTGCAACGTTTTACACCTACGATCAGTGCGAAGCTTCGCCGCCATGTTTTTCAGCGGTTTCCCATAACATACGTATTGCGGGCGCAAGAGGTCCCATGCATTCTTTGCCCATGAATATTTATTCAGGCGATATGGTGTCCAAAGATGTTCTGAAATCTTTCTGTAATGTATCACAAAGTGGAGACGGAACATCCGCGAACAAATTAGATGAAGATTTAGATATTCTCTGGGTGTCAAAAGGTGGAAATGTAGATCTGTTGAAGTGGTCAAAAGATGATTTCAGCACTGGTTTGATCCCTGATTACATCGATTGCAAATCATATTTTGCCGGCAAGCCGGTGGCGACCAAAAGTTTTGGTTTGTGTTTCGCTGTGAAGGAGAAATTTTCTTGACACTTTTTGGTGACCACATTTTTCCATATGGCGACTGAAAAAAAATTTCAGTCGCCAGTTGGCGCCTGCCGAAAAAATTTAATTTCGGACCCTGCTCAAGCTGGCACTTGTATCTCTGATATCCTTAGAATTAAGCAAAGGGGAGTTTTTCTACTCCTCCCTGGGTAGGATGTAAGTCCACTGCAAGGATACCCTCTTTTTATTATGGAATTTTACATGTAAAAAAGCATTCCCAGAATATTCCTCCAATTTCTTACTCAATACCACTACCTAAAGCACATGCTGGGCTGGCCCTGCAGGAAAAGAAACTGGCCAATCTTTCTTCAGCAAAGACCTCACGCTAGTTCAATAATATTATTATAGCAGAATTTTATATTTATGATCTTTGTGAATAAATTATTAATAATTAACTACTAAATAAGTTATTTATGATATATAATTATTATTGATTAGAGAAGATTCTAATGACTTGTTTCATGTTGTTTCCTTGTTTAAGTTATCAGCACCCAGGAAAATTGCTCCAGAGGAGTATTTTGTTTTAGGAGATGGTCAAGAGGCTCACTGGGAGGTAACTAAAGGATTTAAGTCATTCTAGATACAAACCTTGCAGATACATCTGTAACCTGCTGCCAAATACAAGATCAGTTGATTGGATTTATACCAGGCTATGAGTGTAGCTATTTAGATATCGAAATAAAAAATTATTAATAAATGCTTCATCGAATGTCAAATGTTGCTAGAAGCTAAGCATCTGCTACACAAATTGCCTTGAATTTGTTACTGAAATAGATCACTGATATTAAAGAAATGCTTAAATCTGTTTGATCAATTTCAGGTTGTTGAGAGAATATTGTACATTTACGCAAAACTTAATCCTGGGATAGGCTATGTTCAGGTGAGAGATTGTTGTTGCCATTAGAGTGATGCTATGTTTTTCAAAGAGACAGAGCATCATTCAGTCTCCAGGTTAAGCCCAATGTATAGACCGCTATTCCGGGTTAATCCTGCAATACCATTGTGCACTTTAAGTTATTTTCTTACTAAGGATAAAATAATATTGCCTTCCATCATTCAGTTACTGTTATTGATGGTATTATTTTCCAGGGTATGAATGAAATAATTGGTCCACTGTACTATGTGTTTTGTTCTGATCCAAACCCTGAATGGCAAGGTTTGTTAATAATAGTGTTATTTTGAACTTGTTCCGTTGGAATGAAACACTTTTCAGTGTAAAGCTAAACCAAGAAAGAGCAAGCTTTGAACAGGTTCCATTATTCTACAAAATTTGTACTTTGATGGGATTAAAGGATTCCTATCTGTGTTGATCTCATTTATTTGTTACATCAGAGAAGATTTAAGTTTGGGTTTTTGGATTGTGTGCAGTATGACATGGATTTTGTTGTTTGGGGTTTCTTATAAAAAGGGTCTATGTCACACATTTTAATGTAACCTTTGCCCAGCTGAAGAACACTATTTGTTACATTGCTGAGGACTTTGTCAGAAAGGGGCTCCCTATATCCAGATTTCAATGTTCTTTGTTAGCTAATGGCCCTAAATAACATCAGTTTTTCCTTGTTATTTCCACAGAAAATGTTGAAGCAGATGCTTTCTTCTGTTTTACGAATCTTATGTCCGAGATACGAGATAACTTCATCAAGACTCTAGACGATTCAGCTTGTGGTATAGGTGAGTCTGCTGGGTTTAGATGAGAATGTTAATCAGGCTAGTTTCTGGTCGGCCTGTTAGCATGCATGCTCGTGAACATCTCACTTCCTGACAAGTTCCTGACTGTTTTGAGCATTGTTACAAAACCAATCCATTATGTCTGAGTTTTCTTTGATCTGTAGAGGTGGGTTTTGAGTCCTTCGTAAATGTTATGTTGAAAGTTGTTGCCAGTGCCTTTATAGTGATTGAATTTAAGACGTAGGCTTAAATCAATATGTTTAAAGTACAGTAATTTAGTTATTGTTGCTCACTGCAATATTTCAGGAAACATGATGAAAAGGGTCAGAAACCTGTTAAAAGATAGAGACCTTATGTTGTTCACATACCTGGTGATGTATCTATAGCTTTGTACTTCAATTTTTGTTAAGAATTAATAGTCTTAATAGTGACAGTTACCATATTAGATCCATTAAAAACAAACTAAATGAGACTGGCAATCTGTTGCCAATAGCATTTTCAATTGTTTCTGGGCAATACTCCAATTATTATCTAATGACAAGTAAAAGAAGAGATGACAGCATAGAGACAAAAATGTCTTGCAATGCGCTTGCAATTGCAATCCAAAATGTAATTTGGATTTACCTATCAGTACAGGTCATCAGATATCGTCAGTTAATAAGGAGAAAGTCCTCAGCTAAATACACAACTTACTGTAGTTGTGATACAGTCTAAAAAAATTCAGGCTTGAACAGGATTTGAATCCATGACTGCAATACTGGTGCAGCAATCTAACCAATGGGCTATCAAGCCAACTGGGAGCTGGTCATTATGTGGATTCATATACCTGTGAAAGATGACTGCTTGAAATGGAATATATGAAAGACATACATTCGAACTGTGGAATAGATATTTAACTAGAACAAAGACCATTCTGGCTGTGTTCCTAAGATGGCGTTTTTCATTTTAAAATAAATTTTGGGAGCTACTAAAAGTAAACATTTTATAACAACTTTGCTGTTGTTTGATGTAGGAAGAGCAACAAATGAGGCCACAGTTCTACAGTTTCAGATGGCTAACACTGCTATTATCTCAGGAATTTGCCTTACCAGGTACATGTGTAGGAAAATTGATCTTATACATTTACATTTACTGAAGGTTAATTGATCTGATGACTCTTAAAGTCAGTGGTTTTAATTTAATTTTATTTCACTTCAGTTGGTTTAATAAGAAACTTGCTCTAGCTGAATGTAATCACATCTAACCAATCACAGAAAATACCACCATGAACCAAATTGTTAGTCAGAGTTCACAGTAAAACCATACAACCAATGGCAATCACAGAAAAATGCAGGAACCCAATTCATGATCAGTTTAGGTTTTGCAGAAGACTGGCTGAGAAAACGTGTTTGCTTGTTTATAAAAGCAGGTTCTATTGTTTAATTTGTTTTGTTTTAATTGCATAACAGATGTTATCAGGGTCTGGGATTCGCTGTTTGCTGATGAGAAGCGTTTTGATTTCCTCATTTATGTTTGCTGTGCTATGCACATGTAAGTAAGTTGTTTCAATTTATTATGTATGTTCTGAAGATTTTTGCAACAGCCTCAAAATTGCTTGTAAATGATTATCAACTTCAACATTTATTTATTTATTTACTCATTATTATTATTATTATTATTATTATTATTATTATTTTAAGTCCTTAAAGTCTTGCCGCTTTTAACTTATGGTGCCGAGTTCAATCCATGAGCCTAGGGCAGTCATAAGTCTGCTGGATTACTTGATGGATAGAGTCCTCCTAAATATGTGAGCAGTTCCAAGCAGGACGGTCTTCTGTAGCTCTGTTATTCTAGGGTGTTTTCTTTGAACATTTTGTTCTGGGAGTAAAACTTTCGTATTATTATTATTATTATTATTATTATTA